GAACTCAGCATTTCATGGCCACGGACCATATGACATCTGGGCTGTCCCTCCTTGGCCTACTGAGCCCTTCTTCCCTGGTGTATGGCCAGGCTGCCTGTCACCCAGCAGTTTTCATCAGCCACAATGAGGGCACAGCCACTGGAGGCTCTGGCAGGCTTCCGTTGTGCAGGACCATCCTGCACCAGCGATCCTGGATTCGGAGCCTGGGTACCAGGGCCACCCTGGAGCCCGGGCAGGAAAGCATGCGCTGAGCATGCTGGGTCAGGCCTGCTCTCCCTCCGCGGCCAGGGCGGCGGGCCGCAGCACTGAGCGGGCACCCCTCGCTCGCTCTCCGCACGCCCGCCTTCTGCTCATTCCTCCGGTGAAAGCTTTGAGCTGACCGTCCCCACTGTCCGGAACACTGTGCCCCCAGGTACTCACACAGTTCATTTCTTGTTATGCAGCTCTCTGCTCAAGGCCACCCCTGGGGGCCTCCTACAGTCACCGGGCACCCTCTCACGGTCCCTTGTGTTATGTTGGAGGGAGTTCCTCCGTTCTTTAAAACAGTATTGCTGAGATAAAATCGACATTCAGTGAAGTATACATATTTAAAATGCACAATTTGAGGAAGCACCTTTCTATTATTTACTAGATGGGATGCTGTCCAATTCATGAATTGTTCAATAAAGCCAATTGGACCTTCAAATTTAAAAAATAAAATAAAAACATAGAATGTACAATTTGATAAGTTTTGACATGCGTACACACCCGTGAAACCATCATCCCAATCAAGACAGTGACTATGTATCCATGACCCTCAGAAGTTTCCTCCCGTCCCTTTTGACCCCTCTTTTCTGCCTCTGGGCAACCATCAATCTGCGCCTGTCACTATAGAGCCATTTGCATTTTCTGGAGATGTATATAAATGGAATCATACAATATGTACTTTTTCCATCTGACTCCTTTACCCATCTTGCTTATTTTGAGATTCATCCACATGGTGCATGTAGCAGTAGTTCATACCTTCTTATTGCCAAGTAGTATTTTATTGCATGAACGTATAACACAATTTGTTTATCTATTCACCCTTTGATGTACATTTGAGTTGTTTTCAGTTTAGGGCTATAATGAATAAAGCTGCTATAAACATTCATGGACATGTCTTAGGTGACCTGATGCTTTCTTTCCTCTTGGGTAAATTACTTAGAAGTGGAAGGGCTGGCTGATGTATTACTTAACTTCGATTAACTTCTTTTTTTAAATCCTCACCTGAGGATATGACTTATTGATCTTTTAGAGAAAAAGAGAGACATCAGTCAGTTGCCTCCCATATTTGCCCTGACCGAGGATTGAACCCACCACCTAGTATGTACCCTGACTGGAAATCGGATCCACAGCCTTTTAGTGTACGGGACGATGCTCCAACCAACTGAGCCACCCGGCCAGGGCAATTTTGATTAACTTTTTAAGAAGCTACAATCCACTTTCTAAAATGGTTGTACCATTGTACATTCCCATCTGCAGAGTTTGAAAGTTCCATTCCTCCATTTCCTGATTAGCTCTCTTAATTAGCTGCTGTAATAGGTGTGCAGTAGTAGCTTACTGTTGTTTTAATTGCATTGAATTTGCATTTCATGACTAATGATGTTGAGTTTATTTTAATTTTTTGTCATTCATATATCTTTTCTAGTGAGAGGGCTGTTCCTTTATGTTATTTTATTTATGGTAATTATGAACATAATTTACATGCTTGGATATTGTCTTACCACCCACCACCTGTCAACACTAAACTGCAGGCTCCACGAGGGCTGGGACAGGAGGTATTTGCCCCCGTGTCCCCAGCACCTACACTACCGCCTGATGCTGAAGGGCAGATGCGTAGTAAACGCTTGACAGAATGAACGAAGGAGTCTGAATTCTCACCCCTGTTCCCTCTGACTCTGTGTGACTCTGAGCAAGTGTCCCCATTCTCTGGTCCCAGTTTCCCAGCCTGAAAACTGGGATGAGGTGTTGAACTCAAAACCCGAAGGGCCCCCCAGCTCTGACGTGGCCAACATTTGTGGCACATCCCCTCACTCCGCCCCGGACCTTGGCAGACCAGGCCGTGGCTCCCCAGCTGTCCTTTCACTGTGTGGACAGGAGAGGGAGTGGCACGTCTTCTGGGTGGAGCCCCTGGACCCCGCAGCCCACCCTGCAGCACTCTGAGGCCCAGGCCTGCTGCCTCAGCCTAAGGAGCCAGCACGCTGCCCAGGGGCTGTTATAGACCAGGCGGCTCCATACTCCTACTTAACTAACCCCCACCCCTCCTCTGCCTCAAGGCACAACTAAAGCCTCCAGAGCAGAAGAGCCTCCCCTCTGCTACTGGATCAGGAGCCATGGCGGTCTTTCATTTCACCAGGAGAACCCAGTGCTGGGCAAATAGGCTGGAGCTTAAGGAATAAAGGAAGGGAAGGTCTTTATTTCAGTAATAAGACCTGGACATTCAACTCCTGGGTTCCAGTCCTTTCATTTTCCCCCTGATGTGTGATCTTGAGAGGTCACTTCCATGGCGTAGCCTCAGTTTCCCCATCAGAGCACTGAGGAGGAGGACATAATGTTCCAGGACCTGTTCAGGGCTGACACCCACCAGGGTGGCTCCACCACAGCAGGATTTGGCTTCATAGAGGCTGCAAGATGCAGGGCCTTGCTCAGGTGGGGACAGAAGGGACAGAGACCACCCCCCAAGGTCAGGGTCTGGGCTCAGTCTGGCTGGAGAGAAGAGGCCAGGGAGGTGGCCCTTCAAGGAATGCCCTGGAAGCTAGTCTGGATGCGGAAAGAGGGCGGGGCCTGCACCGGGCGCCTGGAAGCCGAGAAGGAGGGCGACGTCTTCGCCTCTTACTGCCTTGAGCCAAGGAAACGTGCAAAGGCCTTGTGCAGGGAGGCCACATGGAACAGACAGGACATCTGGAGTTGGCAACTCAGAACTAACGAGGATTCCAGCAATCTGTGGCGCACCTTCTGTGGCTGGGGGCCACGGATGCTCTGGAAGGGGTGAGATGAAGGAGGGAGCGGAGACGCGAGGCTGGTAGGGAGTGCCGAGGGGCAGGAGACCGGGAAAGTCACGGGAGAGCCTGGAATCCTGGGACAGCGAAGAGCAGAAAAGCAGAGGCGGGCAGCGGGCTGGGGAGGTGAAGCCAAGGCAAGGAGACGGTGGGGCCTCCAACAAGAGAGGAGTGAGGGAGGAGGCCAACTGGGAACTGCAGGCTGAGCAGTGAGACCACGGGAGGGGGAAGGACGGAGAGCTGAGGAGGCAGCAGTCAGCAGGGAGGAGAGCAGCTGCGTGTGTCCACGGCTGCTCTGCTCGCAGCAGCGAAAGCAGGTGAGCGGCCCCCTGGGAGGAGATGGGGCCGACCCGCACTGCCCACCCGGGCCTCCCGCAGTGAGCCATCGTCATCTGGGAATGTGGAATCTTAATGAACTGCACAAATATTTTAAATAAATGTGCTCGAAGCATCAAAATATTGGAGCCATTGTTGTCACACTGTGGCTTAGTTGCTATGGAGGAACTCAGCCCTGGCAGCCGCCAGTGGGAGATAGGAAATGATCCCCAAATGGGCTTGTTCAGGGTTGGCATCAGGGCGGGGCCTCTCTGCCCAGAGCCAAGGACGAGGGAGGCTGGAGCCAGAGCACCCTGCCACCCAGCTGTGCTTCCCATCCATTTCCCCTGAACTGGAAATGCTCCATTTCTGGAGGCACAGAGCTAATAGGGAAACTGAGGCCTGATGAAGGTAAAAAGACTTGCCTAAGATCACAAACAAGTCAATGGCATGGATGAGCCCATACCCCACGTGAGCTGCTCTGGGTCCAGATGTGTCCCCAGCACAGTCTGTTTCTCTTTCAAGACCCCATTCTGCCAGGTATTTCAAAGATGGCCCTGCCTTGGAAAGAAGCTAACCTCCCAAATACGGTGACTTCCCAGAGTGGGACCAAGCCAGCCAGGTGGGAACCGGGGCCCCCCTGGGTTGGAGAGGATGCCCCTGTACTTTGCACCCACTCCCACACAGCCTGGGGAACACAGCGCAAGGGTCCTCTCTGCTGATCCCACACAGACTCCGCCTCCCACGGCCCCACACATGCCCCGCACGCTCTCCCCTCTGAGCTTTGGCGCAGGCTGATCCTTCTGCCTGAAATGCCCGCCCCAGCTGGTGCCCTCACATCCAATTTCTACAATGCTTCCCGTTCTTCCATCGCCATTGAAAGAGTGCCCCTGGCTGAGTCCTGTGTGCTGGCCGTGACTCAGCCCTGGGGCGCAAAGCTGACATCCTTCCCACCATCACCTCTCGCTGAGCAGCTGCGACTGTCTTTCTCACTGGTCCCCGCCTCCTTCGCAGTTCCCCTCGCATCCACAGGCTGATCTTTTAAGTCGCCTACTGATGGACCCCAGGCAGCCTCATTGCTCCCCCACCCCCACCCCCATGCGGGCCTGCTGCAGCTCCTGGGATGCCCCCATCTTTCCTGCTTCGGCGCCATCCTCCCTGTTCCCTGTCTAGAGGCTCTTTCCCCCACTCCTCGCTCACCTAGCCAACTCCTCCCCTCCATTCTGCAGAGAGGAAGGTAACGATGTCCCCACCCTAACCACATTTAGGTGCCCCCGCCCCACTCTTTCTGTAAACAGCTGGTACTTGTTACTCAGGGGCATTATCCCCCATTTGTGATTGCATTTCCCTTTGGGTAACTGTTTAATGTTGGCCTCTCCCACTAGACTATGAGCTCAATGAGGATGGTGAGCGGGCCTAGCAGTTTACTGCAGTACCGTGCGCCCTTGCAGAGCTCCTGGGACATCCTGGGGACTCGGCAGCTATCTCAGAGAGTGTGGGAGTGAGTGCTGACCCCAGCCCTCGGGGAACCCCCAGACTGAGTCAGTGCGAATTGCGGTACTGCAGCGTCTGAGCGGGGAGAGATAATAACCCCCAATGGGGAGTCTTTCTTGGGGCTTCCAGAAAGATGAGCCCGCCAGGGATGAGAGGATGAGGTCCACTCACCTCTGGCATCAAAGAATTCATCATCCGAGCTCTCCACTGAGTCACTGAGGACATTTCGAAGGTGCCAGGGGGCGCCGCCGCCCGGGGTAGGGCCACCTGCCAAAGGGAACACATATGTTAACCAAGCCTGAGACCCTGCCCGGGCAGGAAGAAGGTGAACAGAGACACCCTGGACCAAGCTCAGCCGGTGTCCTGCGTGTCCGGGCCCGCTCCCTCCTGGTGCTTGGCCCCCCACCCCCCACCCACAGCTATGGTTTCCTTCTGGTCCCCACACCCTTCTGAGATAGCCCAGTGGGGCAGCGGAAGTTTCCTCCTGTATGGAGCGAGAGTCTGGAGGGACAGGGTGGGGGGACATCTGGGGCCCGGGAGAACGGTTCCAAGTGGCCCAGAACTGCTGGGGGCCGAGCTGGCAGAGCAAATGAAAGTACAACAGCTAGCCAACACTATTAATCACTACTTAGTTCCTAAACCAGGGAATTAATGGGCATTTGAAACACCTATTTATGAGATACCAGCAGGTCTTCAAAAAGCACATCTTTTCCAAAGCAACTGATCTGGCCAACTGTGTCCTGCTGGGAGACCAGGATTCTAATCCCACTCAGCTTCCGCCCCCCTTCCCCCCTGCCTCCCCAACATGGAGCCTGAGAGTGGGCGGGTCAGCTTCCTCCTCGGAGCTTTCCTTCTGTCCCCTGCAAACAGGGATCAGGGCCCTGCTTTCCTGACCTCACTGGGCTGTCGTGAAGACAATAAGAAGTGAAGGCCATGCACATCCCTGGCAGGGGTGGAAAATGCTGTAGAGATGCCCAAGAGGGTCAGGGAGTCTCCTGAGGGGCAGGGGACGAGGCCAGGTATGCTAAAGGCCACACACAGTCTTAAGCATCAGAGAAGGTGGGCACCATGATCCCAAAACAGCCAGGGAAAGGCCCAGAAGCTCAGTCACCTTGAGGCGGTCCTTGCCCTATACCCCTCCGCGTTTTCTGTGTCCACTTTGCGGTCCCAGGAGGAATAGGGCCAGGAAGTGTTTTTGGCAGATAAGTGAATTAATAAAAGTGATCTGATGAGTAAATATATTCTGCTAGTTGCCTCACGGGTATTATCTGTCTATCCTGACCGAGCCCTGTGGAGTGGATATCATGAATCCCCATCTTACACCTAAGGAGATGAAGCCTCACAAATGGGGAAGTCTTTTGCTCAAAGTCATAAAGGTAGTCAGTGATGGAGGCAGGATCCGAACCCCGACCCGCCTGACTGCAGGACCTGTGCTCAGGACCACCGTGCTGCATGCTCTGTACCACTGCTCAGGACGGGGGTCCCAGGTACCCTCCTCTCTGTCGGCCAGAACAACACTCCCACCTGCTGCTGGCCAGCTGGGCAAGGGGCTGGAGGTCTGCCCTGGCTGTTCTCAGGGGCCCTAGCCCTGGGAGGCAGCTGTCCCAGGTCTAGAACCATCCACCCACCAGGTCTGCAAATTAGTGTCTGGGCATCCTTACATCTGCGTGAAAATCTAGATGTGTGCCCACATTCTTTAACGAGTGTGAGCCTCCCCAACAGGCCACTGCTCCTTCCAAAGACCACCCCTGAGACCCACGCACACACACACACACACACACACACCCCAGACCCTGGCCATGGGTGAAAATTTAGCAGAAAAGTGAGAACATGGGCTTTGAAGCAACACAAACCTGGGTTTAATGCTACCAATGACTAACCTGTGACCTGAAGTAAATCAATGTCCTCACCTACTGTTAGGAGACTTAACTAAGATCATCCACTGGAGTGTCCAGCATTGCCTGGCACTCAGGAGGTGGCAGCCTCATCCGCTGCAGGACCAAGGTTTAGGCAGGCTCTGGCGGCCACCTGCGCCAGATGGGGCTCCCGGGCAGCCTCCAGGGGCCCTCCCCACCAACACGTTCCTCCTGGATCTTCAGAGGCCCCACCGCACCCTCCAGCAGACTGCCCTTCTGTCCTGCCTTCTCTACTGCACTCTTTTAAAACTTGAAATCAGGATAAAAGAGAAAGAGGACCATCTCAACCCTGCCCCGCAGTCCAGAGACAAACAAATGACCCTTCCCAGCACACGGTGCCCCGATCTCCCCACGGAGCCCCAAGCGGGAGCCACCTCTCTCTCTCCTGGCCCATCGACCCACCGCCTGCAGGTCTGGTCTGGTCCCCTGGACCTGGCCACAGGCCTGGGTCTCCCCGCAATGGGGACATCTGGGGGTTCTGCCTCAGGTGCCCCCCTACTGCACATGTCCCCCTTCGCCCAGGCACACGGAATAGGCAGGCAGTCAAGAGCCTGCTGTGGGTGCTGTGCCTGATACCAGGGCCCCCAGCGGCCCCAGCCTGAGGGCCGGAGCCCCGCCAGAAGGAAGCCACCAGCCTGCTCGCAGGAGCCCAGTCTGAGGGGAACGCACTGTCACAGCGGAAAGGCCCTGGCACAGCAGAGCGAGGGATGCAGGGATTGGCTGGCTCTTCCTGGGCCAGACCTTGGGCCAGATGGTGCAAGAGGAAGGAGTTGGGGAAAGAGCTGAACTGGATCAGCCACTGCCCTGGGGTGCCAGCCTTGGGGCCCAGTCCTGTGCCACCCCTGCACCGCGCAGGACAAAGGAGAAGCAGGCAAGCTGACGCCTGCGCTCGAAAGCACACACACCCTGCACCCCGCAGGCGTAGGCGGCACCTTCCTGAGGCAGGACCGTGCTGGTGGAGAAGGGGGTACAGGCAGAAGGCCTTCTGCAGGGGGGGTGAGCTGGGCCTCAGGAGAAGGGTGAGCAGGGTTGGCCAGGCTGGGGCAGGGTGGGAGAGAGGACAGACAGAGGTCAAAGCAATCAGGCCACTTCCTAGATCTAGATCTGGATCTAGAACTTTCTCCCCAAGAGTAAGAAATCTGGCTCCTCAGAGCAAGGAAGGGAACATGGGTGTCTGCTCTGAGAGCCACAGCCCTGAGGGGCTCCAGTAACACCCGCCGATTCCTAGACCTCTGGGGGGCCCAGGTGCCTCTGAAAGAACCAAGGCGGGACTCCCACGCTGGCCCTGCGTCCTGCAACGGTGGCCACAGTGTCTGTGCCCAGCCCTGCCTGACGCTGCATCTGAAGCGACTGCCTGGCAGGCCCGCTGGATTCGAGCGATCTGGCCTCAGAAGGGGACCGGGGCTGAGGGCGCGCAGAGGGCTGGGCTGCGGGCGCGCAGGCTCATCCAGGCCGGCCCCACGGCTCCTCTCTCTCTGTCCCTGTCCCACACAGACCCACACACACAGCCTCACGCACAGACACACACACAGCCTCACACACATTCGCACACACAGCCTCACACACAGACACACACACAGCCTCACGCACAGACACACACACAGCCTCACTCACAGAGACACACACAGCCTCACGCACAGACACACACACAGCCTCGCACACATACAGCCTCACACACATTCACACACACAGTCTCACAGAGGCACACACAGCCTCACAGAGACACACACAGCCTCACACACATTCACACACACAGCCTCATGCACAGACACACACACAGCCACACACACAGCCTCACGCACAGACACACACACAGCCTCACAGAGACACACACAGCCTCACACACATTCACACACACAGCCTCACGCACACGTTCAGATCACACTTCCCTGCGTCCCGGGCCTGGCCTGGCGTCCCAGGAGCCCAGGTGCAGGATGTGGAGCACCAGCTGCATGGTCTGCGTGAGGCTCCCGCAGGCAGGGCGAGCCCGAGGCCCTCCTCCCCCCACCCCTCCCCCGGGAGCCCCGCCTGCCTCCTCTCCCATGGACCACTCACTGTCCCACTCCCTCCAGCTGCTTCAAATCCCAGCTCTGCCACCTATCCACGGATGATTGTAGTAACTGTCACTCGACACCACTCTGTTCCTCAGTTTCCTCCTCTGTAAAATGGGAATAATACGAGTCCTTACATATGGTTGCTATGAGGATTGAATGAATGAATATTTGAAAAAGGTTTAGCATAACACCTGGCACTCAGTACTATAAGAGGGTTTGTTAAATAACATAAATTTTCAGGATTATCCACGGCCCTTTCTCTGGTCCTTTCCTATGTGGAAGCTCCCAAGGGTGAGCGCCTTTCCTCCCCATGCCCCCGGGATGGGAGCCCAGAGGGCAAAGCTGGAACTGCCCTCCTCTCCTGAGGCTGGGAGTGCCCGTGCCCCGGGGCCCACAGGCTGCTCCTGGCGCCTGGCCATCCTTCTCTCTTCTCTTCCAGCCTAGCTTCCTGGGGCTGCATCCTGTGTGCCCCCCAAACCTCGAGCTATGTCCCCAAACATCCTTTGCTTGTGCTCACAGAGCACCTACCCCAGACTGGGTGGGCCTGCCCGCCCCCCGGGCTGCATGCTCCGCCGAGGCCGGCGGGCCCCCAGCAGGAACCCTCTCCAGGCCCGTAGCCGTGCCTGGCCCAGGGACGCACGCAGAAAAAGCTCTCATTACGCTCTGAATGGCCCTGCATGGGGCAGGTCTCTGGAGGGCCCCCTTGGGGAAGTGTCCCACAGAATGGGTCCTCAGGCCCCCCGCGCTGGGTCAGGATGAGTGTGGGAACCAGACCGATGCAGGGCCAACCAGCCCATGCTCAGATTTCAAGGGGCTATGGGGCCAACCCAGGGAGGGAGGAGAGGCCAGGAGATGCTGCTTCCAGAAAAAGGCATTATTGAAGGAAACCAGTGCTGGCTGGGGGTTGGTTGCCATAGAAACACGTCCTAACTATCTCCCAAACTGTTGTATGCGCCACTGATGAGCTTATGTGCTAGGCTGTTTCAGCGGACAGGCCAGGAGTCCCAGGAGAGCCTGTCTGCTGGGGTTCCCAGCACCTGGAGCCCAGATCCAGAAGGACTTGAAAGGAATCCAGCTTCTGAGGCAACCAGGCAGCTCCATCCGTCCAGGGCTGGACTCAAGGATTGAGGCTGCACCTCCAGGCTGCACACCATCCTGAGGTTAGCCACAGCCCCAACCTTGACCTCAGCCACAGCCCGAGCCTTGAGCTCGCCACAGATCAAGACGCAACCACGATCGCCGGACAAGCTGAGACCCAGCTGCAGACCAGGCGACAGCCCCAGTCTCAAACTGAGCT